ATCAATTTTTACTCATGTATATAAACTACGAAGCAAGAAAGTTATGTGAGTAGTGTGAGTAATGCCTTGATATGATTATGAGCAGTAGCAATGATGAATTGTGGTTGAAGCGTGTGATCACATCATCAGTTAATATTACTCACTGTATAACAAGCACACTGCGTGATTTCAATCAAAAGAAAATTTTGTATCCATAATGGAGTTATATTCTATCACCATAGTGTCCAAGTTTTATCCTTATATCAACAATGACAATTTGTTTTATTCCTTGACGATCCCAGTGGAACATAGGGCTTCACTTGAAGCTAGAGGCTTGAAGTTTCAGTACCAGTGGTGATTATTTTTACAGGATGGGGTCGCTAGTCAGCCTGATGCCTATCCTTCCCTCTTTCAACACTCTTATTACTGGCCTTAACGAGGTAAAGGAGTGCGTTGTCGGCCAGGAATCGACCCCTGGAGCACATCCGTCGTCGTCGAGCACTCTACCCCATGTGCCACTGACGCACAAACAATGACAATAGTTTCATTTATTTATGAATTCATTCATTTACAGACACGATTTTAAAACAAAATCATATGGGTGTTCAAAAATCATAATTGTGAATTAATTATTAATTTCAGAATAATTCTTACGTCATCATATTAGTGTCATTATTACATTAAATAATAATCAATACTAATCAATACACACTTATGGTTGTATATAATTCTTATTATATATATAGATCCATGCATATATACAACCATAAGTGTGTATTGATTAGTATTGATTATTATTTAATGTAATAACAGACGCTAATATGATGACGTAAGAATTAATTCTGAAATTAAAATTAATTCACAATTATGATTTTTGACACACCCATATGATTTAAGTTTTTAAAATCGCCTGTCTGGTAAATGAATGAATTCATAAATAAATGAAACTATTGTCATTGTTTTGTGCCGTCAGTGGCACTGTGGTTAAGACTCTCGCCAACCATGCATATGGTCCGGGGTTCGATTCCCTGCCACCAACGCACTCCTTTACTTTGCTAAGCCAGAAATAATGCTGGTGAAGAGGAAAGGTTGGGCATGAGGCTGGCTAGCAACCCTATCCTGTAAAATTAAACACCACTGCTACATAAACTTCAAGCCACTAGCTTGAAGGAGCCCTATGTTCCACTGGGAACGTGAAGGAAAAAAATAAAAAAGACGTAATTTTTGTCGAAATCGTGTATTGTGCATATTTGCGCGCACAACACATTTCGAACCATCTGATCACACACGCTTACATGGGCTTGTAATAGGAATATATACACGTGAGATCCATCCAGTCAAGTTTGTGAGGATGGATTCCGCACCGATGACATTGGTTGGTGCCAGTCGCACTAAATCATGAATTGGTAGAAGTTAGAATTCATGCACTGGACATTGGATCCGGTTAGGTACCACTGGCTGAATGGTATACGAGCTCGATGGCCTTGTAACCGGAAGGTCCTGGGTTCGAACCCTTGCTGGAGATGGGTACGTACTGCCCATGATTACCAAAGTAGGACGGAGGAAACAGCTGTCCAGTACCCACAGTGGCTGGTTTTCAGTGGTTCTCTAACTGATATCAATCCGTGATCAACTGGTAAAAATGAATAAAGAGTTAAGAGGTGAGAAAATAGACTCAGGTCAAGCTGAACGTACACAATGAAGGTCAAAATAACAATGAAGATCACTAAACCAAATAACAGAGGTAGTAGTACATCTACCTTGACTGGTATCAAAACAAAGTTTACCAAGCAAGGTAATTCTAGTGCAATTTAAAATTGTTGCTTTGTCCGCATAAAGGTGGTTTAAACTTCCTAATCGCCATCCGGGGATTCCACAAACTTCAGGATATGCCCTTCCCCAAACAAGTTTTACAGATAGGTTTAAAAGAGGTGTGTAAACGTCTCCTGTTCTCACCATTAATGGACTCTGAAGGCTTTCAGGGGATATGCTCTGAAGCTAGTCCTTACTTTGGTGATATCGAGTATTGAGATTAATAGTTATTCAGAGACAAACGTGTCTCCATACACGTACACACTCATACACACACACATACATACACACGAAAACAAAGCAGATTAAAAATAACAGCCCAGTAATAAATACCAGTAGTCATTTGTGATTAACACTATCGTGTACTTTATTGAATTGTACGTGATATTCTTGGGGGGTCTTAATCTAGTTTACAATATTGTTTTTCTATGAGGTGTGTGTATGTGTGCATGACTCAGCTGTCACATGTGTGTTTTTTAACCTTCTCTTTGTATGAATCATCGTGAGTCTATAAAAAATATGCGACATGGGATAAATGAAATTCTTTTTATTATTGGCTGGGAAACTTACTGCCTGGACGCCCAGGCCGAAGCAGGCAGTGTCTGCCTTGAAGTCTGACCCACAAAATAGCTTAGTTGAGGAGTTAAGCAGCCTCAAGAGAAGCTGTATGTTTACACCCGCCTTTTGGCTATCAAATAAAGGGCGGGTGTACTGCTCAGCAGTCCGCTCCGTCCTCCTTTATGACCAGCTGTGAGACCTGACCATTGAGCGTGGAAGACATGTAAAGGTTAGCTAGCTGTCTTTGATCATAGGTGCCTGCATTCTATCTCCAGTATGAAATGGTGTAATAGGATGAGCAATATTGAGGTAAGGCTTCAGTCGAGTGCTAGGTAAGGAAGGAGGAGAATCAATAGAAGAGGCTGTGAAGTTACATCGATTGAGACGGTTAGGACATGTGTTACGCATGCACGCCTAGCCATCGCCTTCCTCGACGGGCAATGTTAGCTGACATAGGGTAAGGCTGTAAAGAAACAATGGTGGTCAACCGGAACATGGCTCCATTAGACAATGAAATCCACAACAGTTAGTTTAAGCCATCCACGTAGGGAGGCGTATACTTCCTGTCTGATTGTGGTCCTTGGGACTGTGAAAACCAATGGTGGCTGGAGGCAATCTTTGATATGTCTCAAAATCGTTCTCAGTGACTGGCGCAGATGCATCCACTCCTTGTGACTTATAATTTCCAATAAAACTATATTGTTCTTCGATATTACTGTTCCTTTTGTCCCATATCCCTGTCTACTGTCTCTATTATGCATTTCTTCTACTTTCTTCTCTTGCTTTGTGTACTAATTAGAGGGAGTGTGGCGACTTGAACTGGTGCACATCGGTGCAAAGTTCTATGTCGAAAACAGATAGACAGTGTGCTTAAGTTTATGTATACTTTTATACATGACAAACCAGCGCTGAAAACTAGGCGGTGAGAACTACCGCTACCAGTCAACAGTGCTCTTATCCATCACCCTACGATCAGTAGAAACGAAGACCTTCCTTCAGAGATTCTGCAATATTGACCATATAGCCATGAAAGCATAGCTTGAATTCAATTAGAATTCACTAAGTGACTTACTATGTGAAACAGACTTCTTGGAGTTCTACTGACAAGTCGTTAGTTGTAGAGTTCACTGGTTTGAATGAAGGTGGAGCTATGCTAATAAATGCTTGAACTTATAATTGTGTCTGAAAATTCGATGGACACAAAATTCATGTTATCTCAGCTAAATTGAAGAAAAAGACGAAATATTTTAGTAAGTCATAATTACGTAATTCATTTGGTTACAAAGGAGATATTTCTATGGGGTAACTGATATTTTGATGAAATCTCCAACAGTCTGTACAATCGTGGTTTATTGGTCTAGACTGTTGTCTCCTAACCATCAGAGTGACAGTTCTCACAAAATAAAGAATTTGGCCCAGTGCCAAAGCCGAAAAAATTAAACAAAATATTGTCATTTTTAGATTTCCCTGTCACGACCGATAACGTCAGTCAGCGAGAGACCATTGAGAATTAGGGAGTGAGTAAGGGCAACTGTTTCGTCCTGTTCTGGGACTCTTCATCACTGTAAACCTACCATTCATTTATCCAGGGATCGATCCCGGCACTTTCAGAATACGAGATGAAGCTCATTAGCCATTTAGCCAATTGCCCTGGAATTCGATGACTCCTAAATTATAACTTTGTCAACTCTTGAGATATTGAGCTACTCTAATCGATGCCTTTAATGAGTATCCACTTCACCTTGATATGGTTGTGAACCCCACTGGTCAGGACTTCTGACCACCGCTTCTGGAAATCCCTTCAAGTAGCCATCATTGAGGTGGCAATTGAGATTTTGATTATAGGAGTGAGAAGTCATGACCAGTGAGGTCGATAACCATGTCAAAGTTACGTGGTCACTCATTGAGCGCATCAGTGAGGGCAGCTCTACATCTCAAGAGTTGACAAATCCAGAAGTCAGGCGTCATTTAATACCAAGTCAAGTAACTGGATAGTTAACGAAGTTGTTCTTGTAACCAGAATGTGCCAGTTTTGACTCCTGGAAGGGTGAATGGGGGACGGAGGGTTCACACTACCGAAGAGTTACAGAATCGGAAGAAAAAGCTACCCAGTACTCACTCCCCGAGTTTTCAATGATCTCTCGCTAACTGGTGTTATCGATTTTTTGTGATGAAAATCCAAAAAAATTCAAATAAACGATTGTTGAACTGGAATTACAGTTCAATGAGTGTTTACTTGGACAAAAAACGTTGGTCCTGGTAAAATGTTCCATATTCTTCACGTATATGACTTCACGTTTCCATTGAAATACTTCAGCAGTAATGGATCTCATTGATGAGAAGCAGTGGAGTGAGTACGATGCTTCGCTTTCGAGGAATTGTTCTACGGAAACCAATGTTAGCAAATCACACACCCATCTTATCACTCACTGCACATTCAATAGTCTTCTCACAGTGTAGGTGAGCAGCAGATGCCTGATTTTAGATCGTTGACACAGTTCCACCTTGATCTTCAGTATTCAGTAAAGGTTAGCCGTTGGAAGTGCTCTAGCCGACGCGTTAGTAATGCACAAGACCAATGATATATGACCTAGACATCCTTATTATTGATTATTTTTTTGGTTTTTCCCCTTTTATTTATTTATTTCTAGGTGTGTTTCTCACGTCATGATTTGTCAGCACATAATGCCGCTACGCACAAGCAAGATCCACGACCATATCGATGTGAACAGTGTGGACGACAGTTTTCAACCTGTGCCTATCTATCCCAGCATAGACGGATACATACCGGTGTTAAACCTTATGCATGTCGTTATTGTGATCGTCGATTCACACAACTCAGTCATGTACAACAACATGAAAGGATACATACAGGAGAAAAGCCTTATCGGTGAGTTTTTCTATTTTCTATTTTTTTACCCATATATTGATAAGAATTTGTCTATATATATATATATATATATATATATATATATATATATAATTTGCTTTATTCCAAAACGGTACTTGTGATACAGAATGGAATTCTCAGCATTTTTACTACAGTATTGCATCCAGTTAGTACATTATCAATAAATAAAATTCTACATAGATTAAGGTAATCTCAGTTCATTATGACAACAACATATTGGCATGTCGGTAGCAAAGGTAAAGCTGAAACAGTGTTTGAAGGTGTTAGAAAAGTGGAAGCTGTCAAATTTACTGGCGTAAGCGAGAGAAAGAAACAAAGCAGCACATAACGGAAGAAAAAAGAGAGAGAGAAAAGGAAAAGAAAGAAAGAAAATGTTGTACCTACAAATGATATGAGTTGGAAAGACGAGATCCAGTTGTTCTACTGACTATTTATTGAATTATAGGTGTCACGCCTAATGCTTTCTTTATCACACAGAACACGAGCTAAGTAGGGTATGGTTGAGTTTTTGTACTTGCTGGTGCAAGCATATAGTTTTCTATGTAGGCTTCTGGTTTTGCCTGATGAGATACAAGGGGAGAGTTGTGAGTGAAGAGGGTGGAGTGAGTGATGACTCTGTGCGATATGGACTTCTTGAAGTATTTATTTCTAATTTTACACAAAATCGAAGACATACAAGCGAAAACCATCAGTAATATCGCCGGCTATCACTCATGATATTCTTGATTACTATTTTTTCTAGTGGGAAGTCGTGACCAGTAGGGTGAAGTCGGTCGGGTGTGAGGACAAATACTTACCGAAGACATTGGCTAGCGGTCGCGCTATGTCGTGAATTGGCAGAAGTTAGAATTCATGGGCCAGTGGATCGGGTCCCAGTGGCTTAATGGTATACGAGCTCGCCAGGCTTGTAACCAGAAGGTCCTGGGTTCGAACCTCGGTGGGTGCGTACTGATGAAGAGTCCGAAACAGCTGTCCAGTAATCCCAGGTTTTCCAATGGTTCTCTAATCATTGTCAGCTCATGATGAAATCCTGTAACCAATCAACCAAATCCCTACAAACCAACACACACACACCAGTCTTACCACTGGCTTACCGAGGTAGTGGAGTGCGCTGGCGGCCGAGAATCGAACCCTGAACCACTTGCATGGTTGGCGGGCGCTCTACCGCTGTGCTACCGACGCATTCTTGGTTATGGTGGAAAAAAATCCTGTGGAATACCTTATGTGATGAGTGAGAAGACTTTAGAAGACATGGACTCCGCAGGTGACGAGCTGTGTCTACTGTGAGATAAACTCGAAGACATATGAGCGAAAACCAGATATTTTTCAAAAGGAACCGTCAGTGAAGACAGGAATTCAAGTGAACATACAGAATACGAGGGTAGTGAAGGAGCCTGAATGAGAAAACAGCAAGTTGGACGTATGTCTGAGGAGATCTTGTCAGTTTTCAATGATAGGCTATTTGTAATTCTGACGCAAGCTGAGGGGGGGGGGGAATTGCAGAGAACATGAAAAAATGAAGATGTGCTTTAATAGCGGTGTTTTTCACTCGTAATTCAAGGGAATAATAACATTACGTAACATTCTCTTTAAGGACCATAAACAGTGGTTGTTACGTATTTCGTCGTCACTGAATGCATGTAGTGCGTCGGCGACATAGCGGTAGAATGCTCGCCATCCAGGCCTGATGTGGTCCGAGGTTCGATTCCCGGTCACCAACGCACTCCTTTACCTTGCTAAGCCAGTAGTAAGACTGATAAAGAGGGAAGAGTGGGCATGAGGCTGGCTAACAACCCCATCCTATAAAAATAATCACCACAGCTACAGAAACTTCAAGACTCTATCTTGAAGTGAATCCCTATGTTCCATTGGAAGCGTAAAGGAATTTTCTTTCAAATTATGAATTGGCACAGGTTGGAATCGATGGCCACTGGTTATTGAATTTGGTCCCAATGGTTAAATGAATGGTCTACAAGTTCACCCGTAGCTCACAGAAAGGTCTTGATTTCGATCCTTCGTCGTGGGTGCGTAATGTTGCATCTGCTGATGCTGTTGCGTCTGAAGTGTCAAACCGAAGTAACAGGGACCACATAGCAGATGTCGAGTGGTTCTGTCTCACTGACTGGTTTCAACGTAGAACTTTGCATCAATGTGCAACATTTTAAGCCACCACACTCCCTCCATGTAGCACAAAAAACACGAGAAGAAAGTAGAAGAAATGCATATTGGAGACAGTAGACTGAGATATGAGACAAAAGGAACAGTAATAACGAAGAACAATATAGTTTCATTGGAAATTATAAGTCACAAGGAGTGGATGCATCTGTGCCAGTCATTGAGAACGAGGATTTTTAGCCATATCACCAATTGTTTCCAACCACTGGGTTTAGCCGTCCCGAGGACCCAACCAGCCAAGAAGGATAAACCTTCCTATGTGGCTGGCTTAAACTGACTGTTGTAGATTTCATTAACTAATGAAACCATGTTTAGGTTGTACCACCATTGTTTCTTTACAGCCTGACCCTATATCAGCTAACATTGCCCGTTGGTCGAGGAAGACGATGACTAGGCGTGCGTAACACATGTCCTAACCATCTCACTCAATCGATGTAACTTCACAGCCTCGTGGATTGATTTCCTCACTCGACTGAAGCCTAACCTCAATATTGCTCACCCTATTATACCACTGCACATGGAAGATAGAATGCAGGCACCTATGGTCAAAGACAACGAGCCAGGCTTTTCGTATCTTCCACTTTCAATGGCAGTGTCTCAATCACAGCCATAAAGGGGGACAGAGCGAACTACCGCTGAGCAGTACACACGTCCTTTGGTCTATAGCCGGATATCACGTCTTCTAATCCAGAGACAGCGTAAACTGGCATAGACAAAACTAGCCTTCTGTATCCGTTCTCTTCGATTTCTTCAGCAATCAACTCGCTGGTGTTGTTGGCTAATACACAACTCCACAAATAAGTGAAGTGGTCAATGCGCGCCAGTGGTCAGCCACTACTTCACTCCCTATTTCTAAGCTAGGAGTTCTCTCTAACTTATATATATTTATTTTAGCTTCTAGTCAAATCTATGTAGTGAACGTATAACATGCTTATTCTAACTCTATTTCGGTTAGACAGAGTTAAATAAAGGAAGGTAGTAAGGTAAGGTTGATGAGCACAAGTATTTTGGGTAGGTGGTGAGTTAGTTAGTTAGCTAGCTAAGCTTCACGGATAAATCCAAATTTGAAGAGAAAATTCTGAGTAGATGGTGGGAGGGTGGTGTGTGTAAATGTTTTTTGGGCGGGTGGAGGCTGGTTTGAGTTAGACAATTAAAACAACCAACCAACCAACCAAACGAATAAAAAAACGATTCCAAACCAGACAATTAGCAAAGCTAAACTCAGACAAAGGCTAAATAATAAAAGTATAAAAAAAATTAGAAGGAATATTTTGAGTAGAATAATGAGGGAATTGTTGAGACATGTGCATATCTTTGTTTGTGTGTCTGTATGTGTATGTTGGCTAAAAGTTTGCCAGAAACCCTTTTTTAAAACAAAATAATACGACAACTCCTACTACTACTACTAATAATAATAATAATTAGAATGACCCAGATCTGGACAATCGTCATCTCATGTGACAATTGTGCGTCCGTGTGTGTTTGTGCGTGTGTATGTGTGCACGCACGCACGCCCTAAATTGCTTTAAACAAAAACCTTCAAAATGCCCCCCCCCAAAAAACACACAAACAAACAGACAAACAAACAAGTACAGGGATGATTCTCTGCCTAGTTTTTCTGTTTCATAGAAGAAAAAAATATTTTTGTATAATTCTCTACTTGTCTCTACGATATTTTTCTTCAATGTTCATGTTTGTCTGTCTGTCTGTCTATCTATCTATCTATGCGTGTGTTTTTCTATCCACATTAAACTATAGAAGAAGTACATTTCAAATGGTATAGAGTGCATGCACATATATATAAAGGTACATATATAGCATAAATTTGAAGAAAAAATAGTAATGGTCGAAATCTGGGTCAGACCTAGTTTCTGGACATTTTAAGCGCTCTTTTTTCTCTGTCTCTCTCTCTCTCGTATATTTATTTACATTGCGTTTTTGTTTCTTCAAGTTTCTCGCCCCGCCTCCATCCTCACCAGTTTGTTTATATTTTTTATTGCTTCGTTGTGTATGTCTAAATTCCAGGGAAGTAGTACAAGAAAAAAATAGAGGGTTGGGGAGGTAGGAGAGATCGTAAAAACATAGTCATATCAATAATAATAATAATAATAATAATAATGCCAATTTTAAATATACACTTAGAGTGGTAAGGGGATAATGACAGTGATAAGGGGGAAAGATTATGTCCCTTTCAGTAATATGCACTGTGAATTGTTGGTAATAGACGGTTGGAGGTAATAGGTCACAGGAAACCCTTCCGAGATCTAGGTTTTGTGGTAACTGGTATTCACCAGTCAAGTAAGCAAGGCGGGTATCTATCTGTAATCTTGAAGAAACAACTCATATCCCTTCTGAGATTTGAACCTAAGTGACTCAGTGGAGTGCTCACCTCAGTCAGAGGTGTTACCACTGAGAAGCTATTCAGGCTTGTGATTGACCTCATGTACGACTGTATTGGATACTTTTATTGGACGCTAGTTATTAAGTTACTACTGTCAGTTGGAGGGTGACGTCAGAAAAGAGAACTATTTGGAACTCCTTCAACCAACCAACCAACCACCCACCATGGAGTACTAGATAGCTGTTTCGTCTTAGTGCTTGGGATTTTTCACCAGTTAGAATCCAGTACTTATCTCGTGGACCATTAATTCAACCACTGGGACCCAGTCCAATGGTTGGTTGCTATGCTGTCTCTTTTCTGCCGATTCGTCGTATATATATATACATATATATATATATATATATATAATCAGAGGTGCGTAACTGATCTACTGCCTGATTTGAAGGACTCCTGCCCCTCCCCCCGTTGTTCATCAGATCAGTCAAATCCCTACAAACCTACAGTTGATAATATGATATGTCTAATGTCAGTGAGTGCGTCGGTGACACAGTGGTAGAATGCTTGCCGACCACGCCTCATGTGGTCCGGGGTTCGATCCCCAGCCGCCAACGCACTCCTTTACCTCGCTAAGCCAGTAGTAAGACTGGTAAATAGGGAAGGTTGGACATGCGGCTGGCTAGCAACCCCATCCTGTAAAAATAATCACCACTGCTACAGAAACTTCAAGCCTGTAGCTTGAATTGAAGCGCTTTGTTCCATTGGGAACGTGAAGGAATAAAATAAAATTCACCTGAACTTTAGCGAAGATAACTAACCTAACGACAACAACAAGCACAAATCTCCATCAAATAAGGAAAATCTAGATGAAGTCACCCACCTGTTTCAGTTACCTGAATTGGGCAACATCGCTTCAGCTATAGATAGATAGACAGACAGACAGACGAACAGACGGCACAGGTGAAGGTTGGGAAAACAAGACAAACCCGTCTTTCAATAATCTGAATAAGATTCAGATTTTCAAGGTTCACATGAAGCTCACGCAGCACCAAAGTCCTTCTCAATCGACAACTGTAGACACTCATCAATGTCTGGCTTTGTCAGCTTGATGGTAAAAATCATTTGATCATTTAAGAAAGGATGGGTAGTCGACAGAGAACTCTGGCAATGAACTATCATCGCTGGAGTGGAATCTGAATAGCAAGTGACCGACGAGTTGGGTGTAGTGGGCCAATTGCTGGCATCTGGGAGAGCATGTCAAGCGTGTGGGAGGGGGGAGAGTAATTGTCAAACCAGAGAATAAGGTGAGTGTTGAAGTAGGATAGAGGCATGGCCTCCTTCCACATGCACCAACACACAATATTGGAATCTATCTATGACGAAGCCAAACCTGTGTATATGTGTTCATGAGTGTGGGATTGATGGCGTTCAGAAGAAACTTGTGTCAGTCACTTTCTTTACATTGGTCATAGTTATATCGAGCATAGGAAATACTGAAAATGTTTCCTCTCCCTTCTACAACAGATAGGAGGTGATTGCAAAATTGACACTGGAACACTAGTGTAGTTGGGATTTATGAGCTGTATTTGACTTTAATTGCGTACCTTTCATTATCTTTCAAGTTAACCCATTCAGTGCTAACTACAATCCGAATTTTGTAAAGTGAATTCGATTGATTTATCGACTACTTCTGAAGATTTTTTACACTCTCATTCATGTCGAACCTCATTCAGCTCAGAGAACACAAACATAACTACACTAATGTCATTGATAGTTAAGAGGCACACTGTCCGCCTTTCCCCTTTCCACTCCTTTCCTCCAAATTAGCCGAATAGCGACCCAAAATGGAACTATCTCGTAGAGACTTTGAGGAATCTTTATCGATCAATCAGATAAATCCCAAGTAAGATTGCGTAATTTGAAAAGGGAAATCGTTTATATAAAAGTAATGTAATATTAAAAGTGTTTATATAGGGTAACGTTCTTGTATATGTTTATTCCAGTAAAACCTCTCAATTTTTTATTGAACTAATTTTCTTGAAATAAAATCGCCGACAGAATTGTAAATCATTACGTTTCTTGACCCATTCACTGCTCTAATCCTCTTTTTTAAGTGACTCCAAAAACTTTCCAGGGTACCAGTGGCTGAATGGTATACGAGCCAGCTTGCTTTGTAACCGGAATGTCCTAGGTTCGAATCACGGTCAGTGGCTGCGTACTGCCGATGATTCCCAAACTAGGATGGAGCAGACGTCCAGTACTCCCTGGTTTTGTGCGTCAGTATCACAGTGGTTGAGTGCTCACCAACCAGATGGATTGATCGGGCGTACATTGAGGAGGCCGTCGAATGACATCTCAGGCCAGGCCATTGCTCCAGTGGAATACAAGTGGGAAGCGAATAGTGAAAAGTCAGTGCGAAGAGGAAATTGTGTGAAGAAGAGATGAGAGAGTTTCGTCAATCGTGGAGCTAGCCAGTTGAAGAGGATGGCAGATGTTGTTGAATCCCTATTTTCCACTCGGAACCCAAGGGAATAATATCAACAATAATTTTGATTGGTTGTTCAAGGTCATCCGTGGGATAGGGCGGGTGATTTGAATTCGATTGGAATATTATGATATTTTGCTTACTGTATGAAATATTCATTATTCTTTTCGTTTAAATGATATGTTTATTTAGTTTTTCTGTTGTTTTTTTCAATTTTATCCCTTCAAAATACACAAAACAACAACAATGACAACAACAACAACAAAAAAACAGGTGTACAACATGTATGAAAAGTTTTACACAAATGTCTAATTTACAATCTCATCAACGTCAACATATGAAAGGCAAACCGTTTCGTTGTGAACAATGCTTTATGTCATTTGATACAAAAGAAGAGCTGGATGTTCATGTACAAGCAAAGCATTCGGGTAACCGATATGCTAAGGTGAGTAAAAAAGTGCGTGAAAAATGAAAAAATTTTATTTTTCTTTTCTTTTCTTTAATATATGTGTTTGTATAAAACTTGGGCACTGTAGTGGTAGTAAGTAATTCCATATATAGTTTGTTTATTAGATGGATATATCATACAGTCAGTGAAACAGTATTATTTACTGGATGACGAGGTTTCGAACACAATTTATCGTGGTACATAATCATATCAACTGTAATCACATGACTTCGAAACTTCACTTTTATAGTTTTCTTTGTTCTCTCCCCTTTGTCGTCGTTGCGGTAATAGAATTTTCCTGATGTCTGACTGGACAGGTGCTGAATCATTCCTATTTGGCGTATTTTCAGTTGATTCTGTTATCAATCTCTCCCTCCACCCTGTGACATTAGATTTTAAAACTGTCATCTTATCCCATCCATCCTATTGTATGTTTGTCTGTGATTGCATTTAGTGAGTGCTACAGCTGAACTATTCTCTGAATTTCTTATCCTATTCGGGTCAACTAATCTAGATTTATCTGGGTTTTTATGCTCCGCTAGTCTGAATGACTGACCTTGTTCTACTACTGTGACTTATGTATTCGACCTGACAGGATCCTTTAATTGACAAAGCTTGTTTCTAATTGAGTTTGGGGGTTGGAATATCAGCCACTTTTACTCCTGCCTTGTTAAGAATTCTCCGTAAGGCTTCCGAAGTTCCTTCCTTGTATGGAATTACTACTGATGATTTAGATTCTTTATTGTTGATGTTGTCATTATCTTGCGCATATTTGACATCCATGCCGTCATTAATATTATAATTATTATTATTATTGCTATCATTATTGATTTTATTTTTACATTTCCCTACATACTTTCTGACTAATTTATCAGACTAATTATCAACTAAGTTTCAAAGCTTCTCTTATATGCTTCACTTCCTGTCTTAGATATTCCTTGGTACTACTTAGTTTTTGTGCTCTATTACTTGAACATTTCAAGAATCTTATTTTCACTCACATAAGATGGGATGATCGGATGTCCAAATATTTGTTTGAATGTGTGGGTTTCCTGCAGACACACACCAGTGTGTTTAACTTCCCATCTTCTTTCCATTTTACGCTACAATCTAACATTGGAAGTTCCCCTTCCTGACTTTCCAATTCATAAGTGGATTGAATTGCCTCCACCTTTGAGTTAATGTGTTCGAAAAATCTATCTATATCCTGTGTTGTAAGTACTGTGAATGTGTCATCTACATATCTCCTTCATACTTTTTTTGGGGGGATCTGAACGCTTCAATCGCTAAGTTTTCCCACCTATCCATGAATATATCTGCTACAACCGGGGATATTGGTGACCCAATGGCATATCGAATCAATTGCAAACAAGTGTAAAAGGAATGATTCAACACCTGTCCAAGCAAACATCTGGAAAATTCTACTACCCCAACGACGAAAAATAGGAGAGAACAAAGAAAACTATAAAACTGAAGTTTCGAAGTCGTGTAATTACAATTGATATGAATCTGAACACCAATCACTTGTGTTCGAAACCTCGTCATCCAGTAAATAATAATACTGTTTCACTGACTGTGTGATACATCCATCTAATTAACAAACTATATATGGAATTTTCTTTTCTTTCTTTGTTTTGCTTTGTAAGTTGTATAAAAATCTCCAGTTCTGAGATGTATTGATCAGTAAACTTTATTGAAATTAACGGAGGTTTGCTTATCCCATCGTAATATACCGCGACCTAAAATTTGCCATATCTTTTGTGATTTTCTCTTGAATACTGCATACTACTGATTAATTGATGAGTAGTTGGAATTTATTCGTAAGAAATAGTAGGAGTGATACTTTCTAGGAAGATTATCAGTGTTGTAAACGCTAGACGACCGTTACATTCGTTTTAGGCTCAGTTAGTCAATGTGGTTCATCTCTGGTCAAAGACCACGTGGAGTGGACTTTCACCATGGATTTGTTTAAATATGGACCAACACTTAAACTTATTTCATAAACTGTCAGAAGTTTAGAGCTCAAATTTTCAAAGTTGTCGTTGAAAGTAACTGAGAGGAATGCAAATCTAGGTATAGAGAAGAGTGAAGGCCGATTAGGGTTCAGTATGTGAAAGCAAAAAGTAAAAGAATACGGAACACTGGTTTTCAGTTACTTCTGAGCCCTAATCCCGCTATCTATTCTGGCAAGTAGACACATTGGTGGTCCCAACCGGTGATAATAAATTTATCTTTTCACTTGCATCCATGTTATTCCATACTGTTTCATCTCCTCTTCACACGATCTCCTCCATGTCACCCTTGGACGTCCCACTCACCGCTTCCCTTTCGGGTTCCACTCGAGCGTTGGCCTGACGCGCGATGTCACCCAACGGCCTCCTCAGCGAGTGTCCAATCCATCTCCACTTTCTCCTGCATATTTGTTGGGCGATTGGTTCCTGTTTTGTTTGTTCCCATAATTTCTTGTTGGTGATTCTTTCCGGCCATCTAATCTTCAGTATAGAGCGAAGAAAGTTGTTGATATAGGTCTGCAGCCTGTTGAAAATATTCTTGGAGAATGCAAGTAGAATGATAATAATAATAAATTCTGAAGATAAGATTAAAATATACACTTATAGCATAGTATTCTGAACATGCACCAAAAAGCTTAAATCTAAAGGGAACAAATGCTTTAAATAGTGCCATCGCCAGGCATCTCCTCGACACGAGTCATGAGGTGGACGTCGCAAAATCGTTCAAAATTATCAATAGGTAAAAGAGCTCAATTCTCCTCAAGTTCACTGAAGCCATCTTCATCAAGCGCCTAAAACCTGATTTGTGCGTTCAGAAAGAAGCGGTTATCAGTCTTTGTTTGCCCTGGTAACTGAATATTTTTCATCCGAATGCGAGATGCTGAAAAGTTTCCATTGTGTATGATCACTATTGTTTGGAATAGTGTCTAATATTACATATATATACATTATTACTGTATGCATATATTGATTGGTTGATTTTTGTTTAAAATTGTTTCTGTAAATATAATTAATAATGACTGTGGCTTGTAAGCAGATAATGAGAAGACAATGGAATAAGTGCTGATGGTACCACTTTATTCTGCAAAAACTGTAGTTGTCGCTTTATTCAAACAGTATTTGCAGTTATCCTGGGTCCCCTCTGAAGAGATAACTTTTCCAGGTTGAGGTTGAATGCTGAGGTAGAGAGGTAGAGAGATAAGGGAACTGAGCAATTTTTTTCTGAACACAAAAATAAGGTTGACAGATTTTTATGGCAACTCTTTCATATATGTTTAGCGATTGAAGGCACGTACAAACTTGAGATGGATTGAGGTGGCACCTAGCAATAGAATTCTGAAAATTCAAGTGTTGGTTTGTAGGGATTTGATTGGTTACAGGATTTCATCATGAGCTGACCATTGAAAAACCTGCGAGTACTGGACAGCTGTTCCGTCCTAGTTCAGGACTCTTCACCAGTACTCACCACCGGGGTTCGAACCCAGGACCTTCTGATTACAAGGCCAGAGAGCTCGTAGACCATTGAGTCACTGGGACCCGATCCAATGACCAGTTCATGAATTCTAACTTCTACCAATTCACGACATAGCGCGACCACTAGCCAATGTCTTCGGTGGCGAGTATTTGTCCTCACACCCGACTTGCTGCACCCTACTGGTCACGACTTCTCACCAGAACCCCAAGTAACTACCTACCTGAATAGGGCAAGTCGCTAGTGAGCATCTCATCGATATTCAAGTGTTGGTTTCTAGGTTGGTTACAGGATTTCATCATTCTGAAAAGGCTGAATTTGTTTTATCAAACTTGTGTTCAGTATCCACAAAGTGATTGACCTTAAGCCTCCAATTCGTTTCAGTTCGCAAATGAATTGAAGCAATATTGATTTGCTGAGTTTGATTGAAGGGGAAACTACCAGTCTCTTACAGAGTACTCAAGCCAGCCCCAGTATATAGATACATATTTGGTAGATGGTGACTAGCAGTGGAATCCACCAAGATGCAAAGCATTTCGTCCTATTTGGGACTCATCAGCCAGTCGACGTATCTGTATTCCCTACTCAGTTATTGAGTGAAATGCCAACCATTGTTATCCACGAGGGCCACCTCTTTCTTGGGCAACAGGGGTATCAGTTTAGGCTTTCTCGCTGATTGATTAAGCGAGGTGCTTGGCCTCATATTGACAAGAGATGACTGGCTGATATGTCCCAAATAGAACAAAATACTGATCCTAGTTAGGTTAAATCCTGAGGCATTCTCGAAGCGTCCATACTAGATAGGAAGGAGGTGACAATGTCAACCTGAAGCCGAACACTTTGGTCCAATCAATGAACGGGGAAGTTCAGATTGAATTCAATTGATATACACATATCATATACACATTCCTTCACCTAGTTTTAAGACATTCAATGTTGACGTTAGCCACATACACACACACACAGAGACAGACGGCTACTTACGTCAACAGACAGTCGAATAACATTTATTTAAAATTCAATTTTGAAACTCATTATTATTATAATTGTTATTACTATGTATTTACAAAAAAAAACTATATTACAGGTTTTGTTTTGAAGAGCAAATACCCAAGAAAAAAACCTCAAACAATTACAGACAGACAGTCAGACAGTCAGATAGATAGACGGAGAAAACAACCACGCGGGAGTGCGCATTACAGACTAAGTTAGACAGGATTGTTAAAATAACCAACAACAAAAAAATCACTACCAGCCAGTATTAATGACGTCATAGTGTACAATACTACTGACTAATGCAATATCAGTAGTATATGGATTTCTCGCAAAGAATAATGTTGCTTAGGAATGAATTCATTAATTCAGCTATTGGTTTGTAGGGGTTTGATTGACTGTTTACAGGATTTCATCATAAGCTGACACTGGTTAGAGAAGAACCATTGGAAACCAGCTATTGAGGAGTACTGGACGACTGTTTCGTCCGCCTAGTTTGGGACTCTTCATCAGCGTGCACCCATTGACAGGGGTTAGAACCCAGGAGCTTCTGGTTACAAGGCCAGAGAGCTTGTAGGCCATTCATGGGTGTGAGGACAAATATTCGCCACATTTGATGTTGGCTAGCGGTTGCGCTATGTCGTGAATTGGCACAAACACGTTCTATGGATAGGTTTAGAAGACGTGTAAACATCAATTTTATATCCTGTCTCTATAATGTGTTTAGCAATAAAGGAGTTAGGTCTTCTGTTCTCACCATTAATAGGTTCTGGGGATTCTGTCTGCTTCTGAAGCCATTTAGGAATATGCTCTCAAGCTTGCCCTTACTTGTAGAGATTGGTGAGTCCTTTCCGTGTGTATGTGTGGTCACACATACATTCAAATTGGTAAATACAGTGGGATGTGACGTCATTTTTCTCATGTTCTGAGGGCTTAGATGGATGGATGTATCGGCTTCACATTCCCAGTTATTATGATATTAGCTGCATAAAATGTCTTTTTAACCACGACAGAGTTCAATCTTTGTCTAATTATCAAGCTGCTGTGATACCCTATATAGGGTAGCTTGATGTACACATCTTTCTTAATGGCGAGTTGGAGAGTGGGTCTTGGTGTTCTGCACACTTTATATCTCCTAATTAACTTGTCTGGATAATTATTATCAACCAGAAATTTGTGTCAACTTTCTTTCTTCCTCACCAAGTGCTTCTTTGGTACATATTTGTTGGATCCTAATAAAGAGGCACCTGACTCACTAAGGCTGTTTTGTACTGAACAGGGCAGAAACTGTGATAATTAAGATACTGTCCTGTCCAGGTCAGTTTTCTATAAATAGATCGTTTTATTGAGTTTTATTGTCAAGAGAGTGTTAGAATTTCTGTGAATTGCTTAAATAACATATTGGCATGGTATGACTCATGTAAACTTTGAACAAATTTGGTTGGTTACAGCAAGCGGTTATGAACCAACTGACTGGTTTCAACGTAGAACTTTGCACAGATGTGTAGTAGTTCGAGTCGCCGCACTCCTCGCGGCACAAAAGGCAGGAGAAGAGAGTAAATAGATAATTAGAAGAGATAGAGGGATAATAAACATAAATATGAGGCAAAAAGAATAGTTATATGGGCGAAAAATAGAGTTTTATTCGATATTATAAGTCACGAGGAGTGGATGCATCTGCACCAGCCACTGAGAGCGAGGATTTTGAGTCATATCACCAGTTGTCTGCAACCTTCATTGGTTTTTACCATACCGGAAACCCCAACCATCTAAGTAGTCTACACCTCCCTATATGACTGGTTGGCTGGCTTAAACTAACTGTTTTGGATTTCATTGACTGATGAAGCCATGTTGATTTTGGTTTGACCACCACTGACCTTCTCTTTTCCAGCCTGATCCATTCAATGTTAGCCAGTCAACATTTCCCGTTGGTCGAGGAAGGCGGTCGATGTCTCGACATGTATTTGTAACACATGCTCTAACCATCTCACTCAGTTGATGTAACTTTACAGCCTCATTAACTGATTTCCCTTCCTAACCATCTAACACTCGACCGAAGCCTAACCTCAATATTGCTCACCGTATTATACCATTTCACACGAGAGATAGATAGCAGGCACCTATGATCAAAGACAACTAGTCAGGCTTTTCGTATCTCCCACTTTCAATGGCCATGTTTCAATCACAGCCATAAAGGAGGACAGAGTGAACTACTGCTGAGCAGTACACAGTCCTTTGATGGATAGACAGCCAACCGGATATCACCACTAAGCCAGAGATGGCGTAAGCTGGTAGGTAAAAGCCAAAATAGCCTTCTGTATCCGTTCTGTGATTTCTTTAGCGATCAACCCGTTGGCGTTGGCTAATACAACTGCACAAATAAGTCTAGTGGTCAATACACTTCACCAAACCACTTCATTCCTGCTTATCTTTAGGCCAGCTAGGAACAAGTTGATGCAGTCCAATCCTGTAGTCTCATTATCTTACATTTAACGGGATCGAATCACTCAACTGCCTGTGGTTGATGAAATCTTGCTACTTGTAAGAAGAAGACGAAGAAAAAGCGGAAGAAAAGTGGAATAATTAAAGGGTGGCCGAGGGGGAGGGTGAGAGCTGTCTGCTAACCGAAAATTACAGACAATAATTTGCATCAATATTTACGTCCCGAATCAGGGTCACAAGAAAAATCAACAAATAACAAAGGTTAACCTTGAGGAACTCAACAACCAATCACAGCAGACTTAATGGGTGCAAATACGATTCGTATGTAAATGGCTTAACTTTCTGAGAAACGGTCGCTAGCAGTACAGAATAACCTTGAGCAAGAAAACAACCAATCAGAAGACGTTGCTTCTCCGTTGACAATAATGTACATAAAAATCTATAAATATCTGTTGATTTTCGCAATAAACGATAGGTTGCCTGGCCATTGTCTTCTGTCATTACAAAATGATCATTTTTTTCCAGAAATTTGTAACATACCTCTTCTTCTTTATTTTTAATTCAATTAATCAACTAATTGATGGATATTTATGGTTTGTTTTTTCTCTTTTTATTTTTATTTTTCGCTTTCTAACAACACAGGTTCTAGTATGTCCTATCTGCACGAAGAGTTATAATTCAGAAACCTATTTAGCCAAACATGTTGATCGGCATAAAGAAGCAGCAGCTACAGCTGGTGCTGACGGCAATAGCTCCAATGCACGTGGCAATAACAGTCATAATAACAACAATAATAACAATACTAATAATAGCAATAACAGTAGTAATAGTAATAATAACAATAATAATAGTGCGATCAATCTAAGAAATCAAGCCTGTATGGATAATATATTCGCTGCTGGATTTCATAATCATTCAGTTGCTATGGCTGCTGCAGCCGCGTCAGCGCTTAGTCGTGGTGGGAATGTTATCGATTCGAATTCTGCCGCTGCTGCTGCAGCTGCTGTTACACATATGGGTGTTATCGGTGCTGGTACGGGTGGTCTTGGCGGTGTTACTGGTGGACGTCATCCACATGCAGCAGCAGCTGCAGCTATGGTTGCAGCACATGCACATCAAGATTTACATTTACGTGCTGTCGCAGCAGCGGCTGTTGCTAATAGCAACACAAATAATAATAATAGTGGGAATAATGGTGTCGGTGTCGGTATGAATATTGCTGGTAATCGTGTTGTTGGTGGTGATATTGACAATTCATGCGGTTTTTTTAATTCACCACTAAATGATGCAAGAGTTAGTGGTAATAATAATACGAATAATAGTAATAGTAACAGTCCAAATACGGGGTGCGATTTATTACACAATAATAATGGGAATGGGAATGCATTGAATTATAGTTCAATGTCGACAACAAATGGGGGAGGATTATTTCATCATTTACCAGTAGGTGGAATGATTCACGGATCAAATAATGAACATTTAGCTGCAGCTGTACAGCAACAACAACAACAGTGTATTACGTCATCACATCGTCATCAACACTTTCAAGAGGAGAATCATCAACAGCACATGAGCTCATATGGACATTCAAATTTATCCTCACCAAATCATCATAATCAAACTCAACAACATCAGCAACAACAGCAGCAGCTGTACGGCCATCAACATCACCAACATCAGCATCAACAGCATCAGCAGCATCAAGGACAACAACAACAGCATATTCAAGTCAATCAACGTACTAATACTACCACTGTTCACCATTCATCGTCTAAACGTCAGTCGACATCAGTTAAGTCGACAGCATCCCCATCTTCGTCATCTTCATCATCCTCATCATCTTCATCATCATTATCTCCAGGAGTAAATGATTCAGCACAGTGTCAACAACATTTATTAAATTTAACACAACATCGTTTGTCTAATTCTACTTCTACATCAAAACGAATTTGTTCCCCGTCAATTGAATGTAACACCACCGCCAACACCACCAACACCACCCCGTCATCAGTAACAATAGCACCGACAGTGGCAATGGTGAATTCAACAACGATATCATCGATGGATCGATATATTTCAACGCCGACTACTACCTCAATCACTCCACCACCTTCAACGGGAACAATAGCAACAACAACAACAACACAACCAGTGACCGGAGTTAATGGCTCGTTAAGTAATAATAACACTAATAATAATAGTGGTAATGAGGGTATACAACAACACCAGTTACTTCCACCACCAGCCCATCAACAACACTGTCTACAATCGAATCAGTTAGGGGAATCAAATTCGCTATATATTAACAATAATAATAATAACAATGATAATCAGACTAACTGTACAACCGGTAACCATCATTCTACTCCACAGTCAGAGTCTCAACGGCAGCCCACCCATCAACAGCATCATCATCATCAGAACCATCGTCAAGAAGAGCATATGCCTCCGTTATCTGCACACAGTCATTCCAATCAATCCTTTCTGTCTAGTCATGTTGTCGGTGAGTTGACCTCGTCACCTTGCGCATCACCAAGAAGACTGTTAAACACAACAGATGATGATATAACTGTGAAAGCCAGTGAATGTCAGCGTATGAATATTCAGGAAGGCGATCATCAGAATTGTGAGAAGTGGTTTAATGGTAGGCGTAACGATAATACTGATGTTGTAAACGGGAATGTGAAGAATCACACCGAAGTCGATATCGACACCGACGCCGATGTCGTCGACCACCACCAACCTAACGGAGGAGAAGATGAAGAAGAAGGAGAAGCTGATGATGGCGAAGATGATATTGTCATGAATAAAACTGACATCAGTACACCGAATCATATGTATGATTTTTTATTCCATGCAAATTCAAACAGTAATGCTGATGATGATGACGAGGTCGGTCTAAAGTCAACTCACGAGGCTGTAGAAGAAGAGGAGCACGGGGCGGGGGACCTGTTGACTTCACCGCATAAATCTTCTAGATTTAATCAAAACGCGCTAATACCAAATAGTTTATCCCCAACATCGACTGATCTACTCCAGTGTAATAATAATGATGGCGGTGGAAATATTCTTCATAATCGATCTGCGCCATCATCAGCATCAGCATCGCTATCTTCATCATCGTCTTCTTCTCCGTGTATTGATCCTGTTATGACAGATGAGATGAATTCAATTGGATTGGAAAATATCAATTATACTGACAATAATCACGGTAATCATGATAATAATCCTACGGAATGTGAAACAAATACCCTATCAACTAGCATAGGGATTGATTCAATTCTTGGTGGGGGAGAACATCCATTGAATAGTATAAAAATTCAAACAAGTAATCCATATACAATGGATAAATTGAAATCAACTGATGGTGGACATCTCTGCCCTAGCAACAACAACAACCATGGCAACAACAACAGCAATCCTAATAACACTAATAATCGATCATTAAAGCGTAGTTGGTCAAATAGAGAATTATTAAATTCGCATAATCATGATCCCGATCATGATGATGATCACAGTATTGATCATAACGATAAAGAGAAGGATACTCTGGAATTCTCAGCAGAAAATAATAATATAGACACTGGTAGTATTGATTGTGTGGGAACAAGGACCCTTAGCAACGACAGTAACACGAGCAACGTTGGTAACTCCCCTAAAAATACCATGAATACTAATCACCATCATAATAATCATAATGATAATGATGACAGAAAATCGATATCAGAAGAGGAAGAAGAAGAAGAACCACAACAACGACATCAAGTGAATTCGACGTCAACATCACCGATATCCTCATCAGTACAACAGTTACACCCTACTAAACGTCGACGTCGACATCAGTATGTACCACAACATTTACCAGTATATCATGATAATGGAGATATTGATGAAGCTGATAATGACTGTGTTAAAGAGGCAATCGATAAACGAAAATCGATGATACAATCAACACTGGATCATTCCCATCGTCAAAATCATCATCAACAGTTAACAAATCGACGGGGAAAATTGTCCTCAAATGATAAATATACAAAATCGGATCAATTGAATGGAGATACCAATGAAACATCCCCCTCCTCCCACTCATCACCATCATCATCAGTGAATAGTCCTCTTGACAATGGAACTGATGATCTCGAGGGTGAAGTTGTCAGCGACAATGTTGTTCACAAGGCCAACAATGATTTTGATGCTAACGCTAACGATGATATAATCATCACATCATCAAATGGTGGTATCGAAAAGGCAGATATCACGTCAACAAATGATAGACAATGTTATTTCTCAGCTTTTTAAGCTAATTTCAAAATCAATACAGTAGAAAAAACAAATCAAATCAATGATTGAGTGTACAGTTCAAAAGGATTCATGCATTCGTTTTTTTTTAAACTACCACCCCGCCCCACAACCACTTATCCCTACGTTCTCATATAAATACACATACACACACAGACATTCATATTCATCACTCCTAATTCCTTCTTCTTCTTCTGAATGTCACTCATGTCTTATTTTCGCCTTCTTTGAAAAGAAAAACGTCTAAATTGTCTTGATGTGCGCATCTATTCATCCATTGCGTAAACAAATATCCCGGTAACAGAAAAAAACAGAACACATAAATATATTTATTGATTAACCATATATGACCTATGAATCACTGATTAAGAAAACATTGGAATTATTGTATTCATTTCACATCTGATTATGTGTAATTATTATCCGAAGGAAGTAATACCGAACGAAAGATCAGCTGCCTAATGGAGTGACATGTTTTCTTCAAAAAATAGATTTGTACTACTTAATAATGTATTTAAGTAGGTAGATGATAAATCATAAAAATACATTTGCAGCTGGAAGTGGTGACAAACAATTACTATGGTAACCAACGCGTGCACACGTGCGTACAAATTATGTGTTTGTTCGTTTGTTTGTTTATTCGTCATCATCACCATCGTCATTATCTTCATTGTGGTCATCAATTCATCAAGAAATAATTAATCGATATAAGTATATGCACATTTTTGTTTCACAGATTCATTATGTTTGTTTTCAACCAGATCAACTTTTGCTGAAATCATCAATCAATAATTAAATTATGATACCTCAGTCATTCACTGACTCATTGCCTGTCATTTTTCTATTGCTATTTTGTTTTTCATAATACTACTCAAATGCATACACACATATACATACCCGCATAGATGGATAGATTGACTTATTTACATATATATTTACACCCTCATACACACCTGCGCACGCATGCGTCCACATAGAAACATACCGGTATTTCGCATTGCATTACTGAAACTTGGCATCATTATTTTTTCAAATAATTATATACGTATCAAGGTGTTTTTGAGTATCTTTATGGCTGCATATTTTGAGGAGAGAGTTGCTGGCAAAGTGGGCTGGGTGGGTGGTTGGGTGTTCATGAAGTCTGAAGAAAGAAAGAAAGCTACATCAAAGTCTTGTTGGGCCAAAATGCAACAGAGGAATAAACAGACAAGAAGATATTTTCATATTTATTTTATTTTTTATTTTACAATTCCCCTCACATATGCTTCTTCTTCGTGCTCTTCTTCTTTATATCTGATGTAACTTCCTTCCCCCCCCCCATGTGACATTTACGCTGCAAAACTATCCATCTTAGACTTGCCATTTATTTTAAAGAAGGCAATACTATTATATATACATATATATACAATACTCATATGTATGTGTTTACAACACACTGATATTTTTATGTCTACCGGTAATTTTGAGAGAAGATTTTCAACAACAACAAAAAAACTCTAAAAAGAAAAAAAGATGTTTTTGTGTCAAATTTCTGTTTATTTTTCTCTTTTTTTGTGTGTTTTATTTATGTAACATTTATGTGTATCATTTTAAACATCATCGTCATCAACATCATCGGGACCGCCATCATCATCATCATAATCTTAGTTATAATCTATCACAAACTGTCACCATATCTATGAGTTGTTTTGTTATATGTGTGTGTGTGCGTGGGCGTGCGTGCGTGCGTGCTGCCCAACCATACACATACATACACACATAAACACATATATATGTATGTATGTGTGTTGATTTATCCGTAATGATGATGGAATGCATTCATCACATCACAATCCATCATTAAGTATGTATCGATTTTCGTTGATATAATAAAGACGAAATAAAGAATATGCATATGTATTTTTGCTTTTATTTTTCCAACTTATTTTCTGATGTCTTTTTGTTTTTTCTAAAACGCCGTTTGGAACCAAATATTGACCGTTTAACTTTGTGTCTGTGTCTGTGCGTGTGGGCACCTGTGTTTTTTGCGTGTACATGTCACTTACTCACTGACTCACTCACTATTACCACTACAGTCTACTCAAACAGATAATGAGTTGATCATTGAATCGAATCACCTAGGCAACTGTATCTAAGCTGACAACGAAAGTTTGTTGCTGTGTTCCACACACACACACAAATTACAATGATATTATTATTATTACTATATTTCTTTTGCGTGTAAGTGTATGTGTATTATGTTCAGTGTAGAATTGATGAAAAATTTTACTAGATTTCACGCTTATTTAAGTAATATGTTTGTGTGTTCTAAATAAACTTTTGTTTTAGAACTACCTATATTATTTATATTATTACTGTTATTCTTGTCGTTATTATCATTGTCATAAATACTACTTGTAATCGTCATTCATATTACTATTATTAATATTATTTTTTTACTCCACCCTGTCATTATTATCTTCTTTGACAACTAAGATATCTAAAGAATAGTCCTCATTTATTTGCTTGTTTGTCAATCTGTATGTCTATCTGTCTATCTATCTATCTATCAATTATTTTTATTGAATTGTAATCAATGTATTGAGATAATTAATTGATTAATTGAACGTCAGTAATAATAATATTATTAATAATAATAATCGAGATTTTTGTATTTTTTCATTTAGTCCCCTATGTATATCTATGGATGCCTATGTGTGTGTGTGGGTGTGTGTACTCAGCTAGGGGTAGACACATACATACACAGTAGGCACTGCCACCCACGCGCATTTGTTAGTCAGAAAAAATATATATACAGCTAGTGGTACAGACACGCACACACAAATCCACCAACACACTGAACCACCCACGCGAATATATATACACGCAGACATATGCATAAATGCATAGACATACATACTATGAATGAAGTGTTATAGTGTTGTCGTGTTAACCTTGTCTTGGTCATTTCGAATTATTTATCCGGTCACCCATTGATTGATTGACTCACTCACTCAAACAAGACACGAACACACACACCGGCTGATCATTTTTTTCATTTACCTTCCCTGTTTTCTTTTTCTGAGTTATTTTGTTTCCTTGTCCATATCCATCCGAGATGATATCCATATGTGTCATTTGTGTCTGTCTGCCTGTCTATCTATCCACCTACCCATCTTTCTATCTGTCTGTCTGTCTGTCTTTGTATGTATGTGCGTGTATGTGAAAGATCCACCCACGCGCCCACCCAGTGACACACACGTACACACACATAACTGACTAACAAACAGAAAGAAGGCAGAGAGGCCCACCTCCTCACGAGGATTCATTATTTTGTCATTATTGTTATTATTATTATTACTATTATTGTTATTATAATTATCATTATAGTCATAATCATTAATTTATTTGTTCCTGCTGCATAGATTAGAGCAATAAATCACTTCCATACACCCACACTCGCCTCCTCCCCCTCTCTCACACACACATACACACCCACCTACCCACAAATATACATGAATACTCTGACGGTAATCAAGTAAACACAGAGAGATGCACTAGACTTAATCGATTCAAACAGAATCAATAACAAAAAGAACACGGCTGAGCGAGTATAAGAATTCAGAAATAAACAAATAAAAAAAAATAAAAACAGAAGAACTTTTAAATGTTATTATTAATTGTGAAATATTTTTTGTACTCCATTATTCTACTAACACTAACACTACTATCATATATATACATATATTTGTTGTCACTAAACCTCTTGTTTGTTTGTTATTTTTGCCAACCAGCTGTATTAAAAGTCAAACAAAACAAAACAAACAAAAATAAAAAATAAAATTGATGTCATTAAAATTCAATTTGTTACTTATTTAACCAGGTGGGATATATATATATATATCATTAAAAAGTTAAGCCAATCACAAACGACTATAATTTGATTGGCGCACTCAAGGTCAAAGTGTCTAAAATTGTCCAATCACATCTGTTTTAAGTTTAGTTGTCTCATTAGCCAATGATGCAAGCCGGTCATTTTAGGTAAAAGGTTGCTTCCTTCACTAATCATTTCATAAGGCTAAAACCAGGCTGGATTGAAAAGATAAGGCAAAACATTCATCACACTGAAATCCGTTTGGAAATATTCTGTAAGCTTACTATCAAAATCAGTCAGTTCCTCTGTTTAGGTCAGAATCTTGATGAACGTGTAATGGAGAGTATTTCTAACGGGCTGTTACAGAATTATATCGACAGCTGTCTTCGTCATCACCATACTGAAGATCAAATGGCTGACCAGCGAGAAAGAGTGCGCAACAAGAAACTCTGTGGGATGTGAGTTGAACGTGAATGGGTAACGACGAATTGGGCATGGTGTATCTAAGAGTGAGTAATATGGAGGAGATTGTGTTAGGTGGTAGTGGTAGGAGGAGGAGGAGACAGTCTATAGACGGTCCTGAGACCAGTTGAGGAGGCCTTCACAGAATGGAGTGAAATGATGATAGCAATATATAATCGAAAACATTTAGAACAAACACCACCAATTCCACTCATCAATACTCAGTTGCTTCCATTCCATTTTCTACATTGAATAATTAATTAATTGGCTACAGGACTTCATGATGAGCTAACATCAGTAAGACAATCAGCTTTTGAGGAGTTCTTGGGAGCCGTTTCGTCCGTCCTAGTTCGAGACTCTTCAGCAGTACACGTCCAACGCCAGAGTTCAAAACCAGGACCCTCAGGTTACAAACAAGGATAGCGAGCTCGTAGACCATTAGGCCACTAGGACTCGATCGTCAGAAAGTTAAGACATCTGTAAATAACTATAATTTAGACGCGTAATGATTGGATCTTTATTTTTTTCCTGGGTAATTGTTTAGTTAGGAGTTGGTGATGATTCTCTTGCGACTTCTTGAACTTCAGACAATAGTCGAGTACACGTGACCTCAGTTGTAGTACTTCTTCACTAGAAACAGGAACTAAATTGTTTTAGGAGATGAAAGGTTGTCGACATGTCGACG